GCAATAATTGAGTTTTATGAATTGTTCGTAAACTTTGTTGAGTAAACTATCAAACGTGCACTTCATAAATTCGCAATAATTGAGTTTTATGAATTGTTCATAAACTTTCTTGTGTAAACTATCAAACATGCACTTCATAAGTTTGCAATAATTGAGTTTTATGAATTGTTCATAAACTTTCTTATGTAAACTATCAAACATGCACTTAATAAGTTTGCAATAATTGAGTTTTATGAATTGTTCGTAAACTTTCTTGCGTAAATTATCAAACGCGCTTCATAAATTCACAATAATTGAGTTCTATACATTTTTTGTAAACTTTCTTGCGTAAACTATCAAACGTGTGATTCATAAATTTGCAATAATTGAGTTTTATGAATTGCTCATAAACTTTCTTGCGTAAACTATCAAACGCGTGCTTCATAAATTCGCAATAGTTGAGTTTTATGAATTGTTCGTAAACTTTCTTGGGTAAACTATCAAACGCGTGCTTCATAAATTCACACTAATTATGTTTTATGAATTGCTTGTAAACTTTCTTGCATAATTTATCAAACGTGTGATTCATAAATTCGCAGTAATTGAGTTTTATGAATTGTTCGTAAACTTTCTTGCGTAAATTATCAAACGCGCTTCATAAATTCACAATAATTGAGTTCTATACATTTTTTGTAAACTTTCTTGCGTAAACTATCAAACGTGTGATTCATAAATTTGCAATAATTGAGTTTTATGAATTGCTCATAAACTTTCTTGCGTAAACTATCAAACGCGTGCTTCATAAATTCGCAATAGTTGAGTTTTATGAATTGTTCGTAAACTTTCTTGGGTAAACTATCAAACGCGTGCTTCATAAATTCACACTAATTATGTTTTATGAATTGCTTGTAAACTTTCTTGCATAATTTATCAAACGTGTGATTCATAAATTCGCAGTAATTGAGTTTTATGAATTGTTCGTAAACTTTCTTGCGTAAATTATCAAACGCGCTTCATAAATTCGCAATAATTGAGTTTTATGAATTTTTTGTAAACTTTCTTGCGTAAACTATCAAACGTGTGATTCATAAATTTGCAATAATTGAGTTTTATGAATTGCTCATAAACTTTCTTGCGTAAACTATCAAACGCGTGCTTCATAAATTCGCAATAGTTGAGTTTTATGAATTGTTCGTAAACTTTCTTGGGTAAACTATCAAACGCGTGCTTCATAAATTCACACTAATTATGTTTTATGAATTGCTTGTAAACTTTCTTGCATAATTTATCAAACGTGTGATTCATAAATTCGCAGTAATTGAGTTTTATGAATTGTTCGTAAACTTTCTTGCGTAAATTATCAAACGCGCTTCATAAATTCGCAATAATTGAGTTCTATACATTTTTTGTAAACTTTCTTGCGTAAACTATCAAACGTGTGATTCATAAATTTGCAATAATTGAGTTTTATGAATTGCTCATAAACTTTCTTGCGTAAACTATCAAACGCGTGCTTCATAAATTCGCAATAGTTGAGTTTTATGAATTGTTCGTAAACTTTCTTGGGTAAACTATCAAACGCGTGCTTCATAAATTCACAATAATTATGTTTTATGAATTGCTTGTAAACTTTCTTGCATAATTTATCAAACGTGTGATTCATAAATTCGCAGTAATTGAGTTTTATGAATTGTTCGTAAACTTTCTTGCGTAAATTATCAAACGCGCTTCATAAATTCGCAATAATTGAGTTCTATACATTTTTTGTAAACTTTCTTGCGTAAACTATCAAACGTGTGATTCATAAATTTGCAATAATTGAGTTTTATGAATTGCTCATAAACTTTCTTGCGTAAACTATCAAACGCGTGCTTCATAAATTCGCAATAGTTGAGTTTTATGAATTGTTCGTAAAATTTATTGGGTAAACTATCAAACGCGCGTTTCATAAATTCACAATAATTATGTTTTATGAATTGCTTGTAAACTTTCTTGCATAATTTATCAAACGTGTGATTCATAAATTCGCAGTAATTGAGTTTTATGAATTGTTCGTAAACTTTCTTGCGTAAATTATCAAACGCGCTTCATAAATTCGCAATAATTGAGTTTTATGAATTTTTTGTAAACTTTCTTGCGTAAACTATCAAACGCGTGATCCATAAATTTGCAATAATTGAGTTTTATGAATTGTTCGTAAACTTTCTTGCGTAAACTATCAAACGTGTGCTTCATAAATTCACAATAATTGAGTTTTATAAATTGTTTCTAAACTTTCTTGCATAAACTATGAAACACGCGCTTCATAAATTTACAATAATTGAGTATTATGAATTGTTCGTTAACTTTCTTGGGTAAATTATCAAAGGCGCGCTTCATAAATTCTCAATAATTGTGTTTTATGAATTGTTCGCAACCATGTCATACATAAATTAGTATTAGTTTGTAACCATACTTATGTGAACTAATGAACTTTTATAAATTGATTTATAAATGAATTATGCATGTTTACTGAATCGTTCACAACCATGCAATACATAAATTGTCAAATGTGTGATTCATGAATTTGTTTCATTTATAATTTTTTACCTTTTCACACATGATTTTAAAATATTCCAGCGGGCTTCCACAGTGTGAGTTTTTTTTAGGCAACCATTATTTTAGAATGTATCGCCTTATTGTTTCCATGGCGATGCGTCATGTTTGTCACGTGACACACTGCAGCCACAATAGCTGTGAATGAGTGATGTATGTGCTTTAATTTCATTTTTCCTTTTTTATTCAAAATAGTCACAACGTGTTAATTATATTATGAAATATCCAATTCTCCAATATGTGCAAGTAAATGCATTTGGTAGTTTAAACACCTTTATAATGATCATGTTAGTTGATCTATAACGGGTGATGGGCGCTGCCATGTTAGTTCGTGCTGAATCCGAGCTGTGGGATTTACAACACGTAAATTCATCCTTTCCTCCAGAAAGACATTAAAGTAAGTTTTTGTTGAACAGGGAGAAGAATAGAGTAAACTTTATTGTTACCTACACAATGTGTATATGATATCAATCTGTTTGTAAGGATCGTTATTATGGCTTCCCTATACATCAGTGTGTATTTTATAAACTATAAATGTATATTGTGCTAATACTTGTGTATTTAAATGTCTGATAAGCATTAAGTGGTTGAAAGCACTGAATAGTTGTGATAATATGACAAGCACTGAGCGCGTCCATCTCTGGCTCAGCGCCAGGAAAAGCGCAAAAGCAGATTTGAATTTAGCAGTTGATCATGTGACGCACCGATTATATAACTCATAATTATACAATTCTTATGCAATTATTATACAATTCATAAAGCATTCTATAAATTTGTTCTTCTTTTGTTTAATCAATAATTTGTTAAAGCATTTTTATTTAAATTATTGTACTGTTTGCAAACAATTTGCACAGAAACTCATTTACTAGCGGCCTGTTCACCAAAAACACATTCTTGCATTCAGTCTGTGCTATTTTTTAATTGTTGCTCTACAGTATGTTCACATGTGCCAGGGGTATGTCTTTGGCCGTATCTCCTTCAAAACTACATATTTATGAAATATTGGACAACACACTCTCAAACTGTCTACTAGATTGAGCAAAGGCGGTTCCATGACTGAAAGTACTATAATCCAGCCTCTCGAGTGATGTTTGTTGTTGTAGCACAGGCAAACGGCCTCTCCTACCCACAGCGGAGTGAAGATGGAGGATCCAGTCAGATGGTACGATACTCACCACATACAGCTGCTTCCACAGGACGGACCACTCCTGCAGCGTAGAGGTGACCTCTGTAATGATGGGGTCCTCCAGCGGGACCACAGTCTCATATTGCCTGCACAGAAACAACAAACATTGACCACAGGTTAGTGTGATTGCCCTCCAAAGTGTGAGTAGACATGATTATTATAAAAAAAATATATATATAAAAAACTATTACTATATTTGAATAAAAAAACAAATAACATTTTATTTGTGCACAAATATTATTTATTTATTTATCAAATAAATAAATAAATAATTATTTTTTATAATATTCATTCACAAAAGTAGAAGCAATTAATGATTACTATTTTAAATAAAATAATGAAAATAACAAAACTCACACTCTCTCTCTCTCTCTATCCATCCATCCATCCTCAAAATTAGTTAGTAGTAACGAATGATTATTATATTTAAATAAAAATAATAAAAAATAACCTAAATGAATTTTTTATTTATGCATAAATAATATTAATTAATTAATTAATTAATTAATTAATATTATTTATGCATAAATAAAAAATTCATTTAGGTTATTTTTTATTATTTTTATTTAAATATAACACATTATATTTTTATTAAAATATCCAAAAACCACTAGAACAGTGTTATATATTTTGCTGACTTGTGTACCTTGTGTACTCCAAATGTTTCGA